TTTGCAACCATAGTAAAACAAAGACTTATATTTTTGATATTTAGTTTATATATTTAAATGCCATTTAACAAAGAAAAATCAACCAAAAAAATGAGTTCGAGTGTCACCTCCGACACGCGTGTCATAGGTTTGCCGTCACTGCTCTGGTCTCCGGTGTGTGTTTCCCGCCTGCATCTTCGTTCTACCCAGCACGAGCGAGTTCTCATTAGAGCGGCGACGCTCTGATTAAGATGGGGAGGCTTTCCTCCTGGGAGGCCAGCCAAGAAGGCCCCTCCCCCGCCCCCGGCTGGTGAGGAAGGAAGAGGGGGTGGAAATAAGAGAGCACCTCGTTTTGGGGGAGGGTAGGCCTGTGAGACCCGATGAGGGGAAGGAGGGCTGCCCTGGTGCTTCACAATCTCTGGGATGTGGGGGGTGATGCTGGCGACGAAGGCAACTTGGGGCTCCGCTCTGCCACCTGCGATGCCCGAGTCCCCGCGGACCCTCTGGCCTCGTGGGGTGTGGGCTCCAGCTGCTGGCCTGGATGGCCCCTATGCTCTCGGCTGGGGACGCCAGCATTCCCTTAGCGCAGCGGTTCTCAACCTTCTGGCCCTTTGAACACAGTTCCTCATGTTGTGACCCAACCATAAAGTTATTCTCGTTGCTACTTCATAACTGTAATGTTGCTACTGTGATGAATCGTCATGTAAATATCTGATATGCAGGATGGTCTCAGGCGACCCCTGTGAAAGGGTCGTTCGACCGCCAAAGGGGTTGCGACCCACAGGTTGAGAACCGCCGCCTTAGTGTGAGAGGGAGGCGTTCCCTCTCTCTTTGTCCCACTTGGTGACAAGGGTCCAGGCAGCATCGACGACGGGAGGAAGAAAGGCGCCTGCTCCCCCAGTGCCTTCCTCCTGCTGAGAGGTGCCTCTGCGGCCCCGTCACCCAGAGAGCCGTTGCAGAGGCCTCCCCGGCAAGGGCACCGCTCGGTGCTGGAAGCCCGACGGCCGCCCCTCCACCGCCCGGAGGAGAGACGGTGGTGCCCACTGAGGGTCACGGTCTAGCCTGAGACGCCTGAGAGATGTGTGCACGGGGTGGGGGTGGGCATGGGGGTCCAGCCTTTCGGGGTCCGCAGGGGCTTCCCAGCTGTTTTGGATTTTTTTTTTTGATGAGGAGATATT